TTCCCCCACTCACTTGTGCGTGCTCGCGCGCTCTCTCTCTCTCTCTCTCTCTCTCTCAAAAATGAATCAACACTTTAAAAAAATTTTAATGGAAAATGTTATTTTGTTGTTCTGTGCTTGGTAGTTTAGTAAGGAATTAGAGGTCTTCTATATATCTGAGTGGGAAAGCCTTATTAACATCTCTTTAATAAAACATATGGGTTAGTGTGCTTTTTGTTACAAGTGAAAATAGAAAAGAAAAGAAAAATACTCAAACTGGCTGAAACAAGAAAGATAATTTATTGGATCCTATGACTTAAAAGGCAAGAGAAGGGACAGCATCCAGTAGTGAGGAACCATCAAGGGGTGATGCTGGTGGGGACAGCGAATAAACAGAGAAGAGCACGTGCTTGCTCTTCCTGCCCCCAGTACCCTTTAGTGCCCCCTGTTGGTGAAGTCCAGCAGGTCTACATGGCAAAGCACAAACATGGTCGGCCGAGTCACAGACCAGCATGACAGAACTAAGTACAGAAGACAGGGTTTGGAGTTGAGAGACAATAGCTTAATCCCTCTCGCATCTCGATAGAAAATGATTTTTCAAAATTGCTTTCAAATGTAAAGATAACCAGAGAGAAAGCAGTCAAGAAATCTAAGCAATGAGATACATCAGACAGTTAATGAAAGCATCTACGTTATTTTGCTAGATCGTGTGGGATGTTTGCTGGCTGTTACATTCTGTATTGAGGTTGTAACTTCTCTTCCCACTCTAAATAAATGTCACCTACATACTTTAGGGAAAAAATAAAATAAAAAGGATTTACAACCTTTCCCAATAACACACAATGATCACAAAATCCCAAGAATGAAGCTATTAGGGGAATAGCCCTTCCAAACCTCTGCTCACCCCCAAGGGGAACCCCAGCTTCTTGGGTATCTTCTCCCAGGCACTTCATTCCCCAGAGCTTAGCTGAAAGTGGAACAGGGGAGAAGACAGAGCCTCAGGCCCTCTACCCTTCCTTCTCTCCCCTGTTTCCCCAGACTGCACTGGAGAGAGCCATCCCGTCACACCTGGCCCTCTGCTCCTTGCACAGAGGAGGTACCAAGTCAGCATTTTAGCTGGATTACAGACTTTTTCCTGAGTCTGAGCTCCTTCCACTATCACTACTCTTTCTCCCTGCAGGAAGTGCATCCTTTAGAGGGCAACAACCTTTTGCGGGGGTTTTTTGTTGGCTGGGGGGCATAATCTCTCCTCTCTTAATCGTGACAGCCTAAGTGTTATTTCTCTGGGATTCTGCTTCAAGCTATCCTATATAAGTGTAAATAGGCTAATAAAATAAATAAATGTAAGCTCCTGGAGGGAAGGCGTGGCCCTTTATTTCTTTATATTGCCTTTGTACTTCGTATCAGTTAGAATTTCATTTCATTGCAAAGAAAACAGATCTGAAAAATAATGGCTTAAACATAGGACGTTTTGTATTGTCAAGTAAAGTAGGTCGGTTTAGTCTGTTCGTGTTGTGGCCCCACCAGCCATCACCAGCCAAGGTTTCTTCCGGCTCTCTGCTCCAGCATCTCTAAGGAATGGCCCTGTTTTCCACTGTGGCTCCGGAGCTCCAAACATCACTTCCGTGTTCCAAGCAGCAGAACAGAGAAAGGGAAAGAGCATACCCTTCCCTTTTAAAAAAGGAGAGCTTTGCAAGTCCCAGTACCTTCTGCTTATATCTCGTCCAGAACTTAGTTACGTGGCTGTGCCCAGCTGTAAGGAAGGCTGGAGAATACAGTGTTTTAGCCAGTGGATGATGTGCCAAGCTACAAATTAGACGCTATTACTAAGAAAGAAGGTGATGAATATTTGATGATACTGCTGGAAAAGGTAGCAGAATATTGGACAAAGGACTTTTCTTTGGGGAGCAGTTTACAGAGATTAAAATTTAAGTTGAGACTAAATGTCCTGAAAGGCTGAGATGATAAAAGGGCTCTCAAGACAGTTTACTCAGAGAGGATGATTTGCAAAGTTCAGAGGCCATTCATTCCACACCCTGGGTTTTTTTTAACATTGAAAATATTGATTGGATTATCCTATGATTCTAGAAGTATATCTGTGAACCTTAGAAAATTTAGAAAAAGAGAAAAAGAATGCCCCTTACTCCCCAAACCTAGAGATAACCCTAAGTAACGTTTCAGTGTGCTTCACTTCAGTCTCTTCCATGCATAAATCATGTTAATTTTGTAGGTTTGTAGAGAGAGCACGAGTGAACAAGGGGGCAGAGAAAGAGAGCGAGAGTGCAGTTGCCAAAGGAGGACTCAAGCTCACCAACCTTGAGATCATGACCTGAGCCGAAGTTGGATGCTCAAGCTACTGCACCACCCAGGCGCCCCCGTAGTGGTGTTTTAACTGTGTTTTTTGAAAAAGCGGTATCTTGAAACGTGTTCCCCAGCCCCTCACGCTGCCTTTGCTTCGTCTCCTGCCCTCTACTCCACGATCACGGCTCATGGCAGTCTGTAAATCACATAGCAATTTATCTTCTGCGTATTTCAGCAGATCCAAACTTCCAAATCCCCTGTGACACGTTTTATACAAACGCCAGCCCAGCACACACTCTGTTCCTCACCTTGCTTTTCCCACCCACACTATTCTGCCCTGTGCTTTTTGCCAGATCCACACAAGAGCATCCCTCTTTGCTTTAGTGGCATTTCTTCCAGTGGAGTTACCCCATTTATTAAACAGCTCCTACTGACGGGCACTTGAGTTGTTTCCAGTCTTCTCTATGACAGGCAATGCACAGCCTGGTATGGGTCTCATTCGCATATGGTAACATATTTACAGGATAAATTCCTAGAAGTGGAATTGCTAGGTCAAATGCACTTGTAATTGTGATCAGTACTGCCAAATTGCTCTCCACGTTGATCGCAACAAAATTTGCCCTCCCACCAGCAATATGTGAGTGTCTGTTTCCCCACGGCCTCATCAAAAGTGGGTATTTTCATACCTCTCCTTTTTGGCCTGAATGATAAATTTTAAAAATAGATCTTGGTATAGCTTTATCATGGGGAAAATAGACTCATTATTTTTGCTTTTGTGTTTTTAAATGTCCGTTGTTTTTGTTTTTTTAATTCCTGCTCAGTGCTTTACCTTTCATGAGTAAATGAGTAGATGAGTAGGTAATTGGACTGAATAGTTGCTATTTCTCCTTCTGTTCTATCCCTGATAAAAGCACCTGTTATGTCCCAGCTAAATAATTGTTTGTTTTTTTAAGATTTGATTTTTAAGTAATGTCTACTCCCAACATGGGGCTTGAACCTACAACCCCAAGATCAAGAGCTGTACACTCCACTGACTGAACCAGTCTGGTGCCAGGCACCCCTAAATAATTGTTTATTATTTTGAGGGTTTATACCCTGCTTTATTTCTAAAACATTTTTTTAAATGTATTTATTTGTTTTGAGAGAGACAGAGACAGTGTGAGTGGGAGAGGGGCAGAGAGACAGAGAGAGGCAGAGAGAGGATCCCAAGCAGCCTCTGCACTATCAGCACAGAGTCTGATGCACGGCTCCAACTCGGGAAACCCTGAGATCATAACCCTAGCTGAAACCAAGAGTCAGGAGCTTAACCGACTAAGCCACCCAGATGCCCCTATTTCTAAAAGATTTTAAGTAAGAAAATTGGAATAAAGGGAAAATAAGAGTAAAAATACACCAAAAAAAAAAAGACTGTAAGAAAAGCAAGACGAAGCCAGAAATGAAGTCAGTTCACCAAATAGCCTCAGCACTTGCCAGCGTCAGGTCACGGATTCGGCCAGTGCAGAACTCCTTTTGACAAGGAGTTCAAAACATCTATGCAGGGCTCTGTCAGAACCTGGCTTTTCTGAGGCTGTGATCATCATCAGAGGGTGTGGGGAGGAGACTTTTCCTTCTTTCGGCATTCATGCTCCAGACTCCAGTGCCCTGTGGGACTAGAGCAGCAGAAATAGCATCAGAAGGGAGGAAGGTGGTCGGCCGATGGGAAGAACAGAGGAGGAGGAAGAGCAAGGTTGGAAGGAGAACAAGGCACGGGCGGGGGGGGGGGGGGGGGGGGGGGGGGGGGGGGGGGGGGGGGGGGACGTGCTCAGAAAGTGCACTGGACAGGGCTGCCTGGGTGGCTCAGTCAGTTAAGCGTCAGACCTTCAGTTCAGGTCATGATCTTGTGGTACGTGGGTCCATGGGTTTGAGCCCCGCGTCCGGCTCTGTGCTGACAGCTCAGAGCCTGGAGCCTGCTTCAGATTCTTTGTCTCCATCTTTCTCTATCCCTTCCTCTCTCACGCTCTGTCTCTCTCTCTCTCAAAAATAAACAAACACATAAAAGAAAAAAAAAAGTGCACTGGTTAGAGGCCTTCAAGGTTTATCTAAACGTGCACATTTTATCAAAATGTAAGAGCTGTAGCAAGTCAACATCAGCTTAGTTCTACCGAAATTCTTATCGTCCCGTGTGGCCTGCTTTGTCTAAGCCCTGACCTTGGTCAGATCCCTGTTTGGCATCCTGGCTTCATTTTCTGGCCAAGCCCTACTTGGAGATGAGCTCCATAAAGGAAGAAGGGATTGTGCTCATGACAATACATCGTGAAAAAACATTCCAGTTTCTAGCAGAGGGGAGCGTTGTTCTGAGGATGTTGAGGAAACCTGGAGACCGTCTTCATGTCTGTGTCAAAAGACAATACTTCGCTTTCTGGTATTCTTTGTACATACATTGTCACCTTAAACCCAGATTGAAAAACTCGTCATACTAGGATTACAGCTCTGGTAAGAGATATTTGCTTGTAGGAAGGGGTAAGGACAAAAAAACAGTGCTAGAGCAGTGGAGTAAAAATTACCAAAAAACAAAACAAAACAATTTGTTATAATTGTCTTTCTGTATGCACAAAATCCCAGCTGTTGCTCAGCGTCAGAGTCAACTTGTTGTGTTTCTTCTGGTGCAGATAAAGTTATCTTCACTCCAGACAGACCAAACAAACCCTTTCACTTACAGCACAATGTTTTTGTCTTTCCAGGCATCCTATAAGCCATTGTTGAGGCAGGTCGTGGAGGAAATATTTAATCCTGAGAAGCCAGATCCGGCAGATATCGAACACATGTCTTCAGGCCTCACTGATCTCCTTAAGACTGGATTTAGCATGTTTATGAAGGTAAAGTAACCATGAAGAGGTAATCCTGACCGTTATGCTCCCTTCACTGGGTGTGAAAGCACGGACACCATGCTCACCCTGGTGAGGACCATATAAGATAACAGCCAGTATTTTGGCTCTTCCGAAATCAGGTACAATCTTTATTTAACTTGGGTTATAAACAGCCCGACCTGCCAGCCTCGTCCAGCTACTTTTGACCTAAGCACCGTGGTCTTTTCCAATCCATTTTAAGGGCACCAGCCCTCCAGGATAGCAGTGATGAAAACTTTTCTCCTCCTGGCACACAGTTCCACCAGATCCATATACTAGTCACGGCTCTTACCAGTGGTCTATTGCTCTTAATTCCAGAACTGACATTGGAGAATGAAGAACTCTGCTCAGTCATATGACTAGCATCACCCCAAAAGCCATTTGAAAATGACTTCTGTCTTAGCCCAGCAGACTCCCAGGTGGCAAGTGCTAGACTTTCTCTGGCTAATACCAACGGTAGGTCAAAAATGACGGAACAGCCTTTGCCATGGGGATAAAAGGAGGCAAAGTACACAAATGAGACCTATTTTTAACTTACTATAAAGTTTCTAAATTTAAAAGGATCTAAACAAGATTACAGGGCTGGCCTCCCAGTCGACACCAGGATTTCAGTTGTAATAACTCTTGGAAATAACAAAATGTTTTGCCTACTTCAAAGCGTCTTTGAAATCACGAATTAATCTACATAGAAGATCTGGCCTTTTCAGAGTTCAGTAAATGCATATGCCAGGAAAACCGGTCTACTCTGAAAGCCAGAGGACAGAAGCCAGACAATCAGACTCTAGACAAAGCAGTAAACCGGCTGGAGGGGCCACCGGGTCTCCTTCCTGCTGCCCCCCGTTATCGGCTCTGTCTGCTGCACTGGTGGGGCTGGTAAATTTCCCCTTCTTTATTTTTTTTTAAAATAATCCATTACAGATCCACTTCTTGAAAATGTTTGGGGGCTCCTGTGTTGAATGTAAGCAACACAGTGGCTCTTCGTGATGGCCAGTCTGTGTAGAAACTTCCAGGCTAGACATGGTCTCAGAAACCTCCTCCAGTTGAGCACCCTCTTCCTTCATTCACAAGCTTGGACTTAGCCCTGAGAAAGACTAAAATAGCACATGTGGACTTTCAGGCGCTGGTCAGTGGGGTCTGAGGGTGGCCCCACAGGTTGCGGCATTCGTGGTTCATGGTTGGGCAAGGGTATAGTGTCCACTCCAGCCTGTCCACACTCTGCCCACCACATGTGTTTCCAGTCTGCCGAGAGACACGGTGCAGGCGAGAGGAGGCCTCCGACTCAGTCTTGTCCAGCGACATTCCATAGAAACACTGTTTCTTAGCAAAAGGATCCTGTGACCAAATACGTTTGGGGAACACAGGGGGAAACCACAAATTGAATTGCTTGGGAAGGCACAGTGCCTTTAATATCCTAATGGACTTTGCAACTATCAGGCCAATAGAGAGCCTCCCTTGTGGGAGAGCAGCCACTTGGTTTTCCATTACTGTTTCATGAAGCATGACACATCACATTTTTAAATTACCCTGTTAAACTCTGCAGAGTGTGTTTTTGCAGCTCTTCCCCGGGATCAGAACCTTCACTGTCTTAAGGATTTGGCCTAGGAAGGTGTGTGGAGGTCTCCTGGGATGCTCTGTTTCCCTCTATTCAGATCTCTGGAGTTAGGGCTCATGAAGAAATGCTCTGGCTCCTTGAGACTGACCTCAAAAGGAGGTTTCCAAGTAATGAATTTCAGAAAAAGGGGGAATTTGTGATTTCCCAGCAGCTGTCAGAATCCATTCCCCCAGCTGCCAGGTCTCTGCTCTCAGTTGCCAGGCGATGTCATTTGTTTGCAAGGGGTGGGAAGGGTCTCAGTGGGCTGGTCACATAGCCCTCCCCACCCCTGAACCCCAAGAGAGAGTCATTTGTTCTGTTTCTACATGGGCTTCAATGGCTTCCTACCACACCACGGAACTTGTAAAGGAAAATTACCTCTGGCTTCTACATTCAGGACTCCAATAAAAATAAGTGGAAGAAATGTAAATAAAAACAGCCAGAAGGGCTTTGAAGAATAACTGCAATTCCACAAGGAGCTATGTCTTTGAGATGGAGGGAAACCATGAGGAGAGAGTTTCTTCTCCTCTGCTTAAAGTCCTGCAGAGAGAGAAGATACTAGGTGTGTGTCTAGGATTCTCAGCATGAAACAAAAACTGTGTGAGAGGGGACTCAAGGCTGCTGGGTTTTACCCTTACTAAAGTCAGCGTCTCATCTGTAACCTACTGCAGCTTTTTCCCATGACATTCCCACATCACTTTCGTGTGCTTTCCTCCATGAAGACTGTCCAGAAAAGTCTCCCATCCCCACCTGCTCTGGTTATCTATTGCTGTACTAGAAGCCATCCCAAAACATTGACTTAACATACTGTGGGTCATTGATTTTGTTCATGAGTCTGCACTCTGGGCAGAGCTCAACAGAGAAGGATCACCTTTAAGATGGCCTCCTCACGCTGTCAGCAAGTTGATGTAGACCATCAGCTGGTAGTTCAGCCTGGCCTGTGAGCCAAGGGACGCAGATCCTCTCCATCTGAGCTTCCTCACAACATGGTGGCTGCATTCCAAGGGCAAGCGTCCTGAAAGAGCCAGATAGAAGCCTCAGAAGTCACACCGCATCCCCTCCATAATACTCTGTTGAGGCACTTGCACAAGCCAACCTGGGTTCAAGGAGAAGGGACTTCCTCTCTTCCTCTTGAAAAGATGGTTGTGACCACTTTTGGAAAACACAGTCTGCATTCAGCCTGCATATACCATCCAGCCTGACAGGGTAGTGTTGGGCGAAGTCTAATAGTGTTCCCCCCAGTCCAGAGGACAGAAAATTCACTCGTGCTCCTGACCTGGTTTCAGGAAAAGTGCTTCCAGAAAGGCTTTGATAATGGAAGACCTGCCTGTTTGCCATGACGTTTTTTGAACAATATCATTTCAAAACCAACCAACCCAACAAACAACAAAGCAAAACCTTCCTAAGTGATTAGACACTGCATGACTTTCCTCACCCTCTTCCCTCTCCGCTGTGTCAGGCCCTGGGGAGAAGAGGGAGTATGCCCACAAGATCATTCTTCGGGCAGTTCTGAGAAAGCGTTTCAAGTCAGCCAAAGGCACTCCTCCACCAGAGGGTAGACTTGTGGTTAGCCACATAAAGTCGTGGGCTTCAAAAGGCAATGCCTGTGGGGGAGGGGGCTATCAAAATGGGGAGAAACAGCTCCGGCAGAACCTGACATTCTTCAAACAATCAAGCATTTCTCCAAGCGGCTTGTGCGTGGAGTACCTTGATCTCCTTACAGGAAAGCTTGATAGTGATCTAATAAATAAATCGAAACATGCCTTACCCCTCTCGCATCGACGTTAATTTAATTTAAAACTAGCATGTCTAATAGGCAGCACTTTTAAAATGCATTTCTGGAATTTGTGGTTTGGATTTCAGTCTCCTGAAAATAATATATTTTATATCTACTCCATGTGTTTGGCCCCCAACTTGTTTTGACTAAAGGACATGATTTGTCAAGATGTTTTCTGTGTCAGAATTGGAATGAGGAGGGTGGATTTTATCTAATGAAATTGCATGAGGTCCTTTTACCTCCTTTCCTGTGTTTCTTAAGAAGGATTTTGTTGCTGCTGTTGTTGTTGTTGTTCCATGTCCTACGTGGTCATGCTTCATTGGAAAACAATAAAAGATTTGTGAAAAAGACTCGAAGAAGACCCAGAGCTTGCCTCTGGGCCCTTCTCTGAATTGACAGGAGAGCTCCGTTGTGTTGGGTCCGTAGGAAAAACTGCTCAAGCCTGGAAAAGCTGGTAGTGGGGAGGGGATCAGAACTGAAACTCTTCCAGTTGCAGTGAAGATGCTCAACTGAATCATTTACTGTGGATCATTTATTGTGAAGACTAAGGAGTGTGTCAGGGAAGTCAGTTGCTATGCTGTGGGGCCTCAGGAAGGACTGGGACTGACATCTGGAAAGCCATCAGGAAACCAGACAGTTGTTTGAGACTCGCTCTGGCCTGAGAAGACGTGAAGGACGGTGGCCAGCATATTGTAGGTGCTCAGTGGTAGTTGAATGAATGGGTAGCTCTGCCATAGCTTTTGGTTCTGCTTAAGAGCTCTGCTTTGGCTGAGCCTCCCCTATCTCAGGGCAAGTCTTGGTTCCCAAGGGAGCGTCTCGAATTGGCGCAGCCTTGGTCAGTGGCCCATTCCTGAACCATTCTGAGGGGCAGGATCACACTGTCGCTACGTGGCTGGCCGGGAGCCCACCCCAGCACTGTGAGGATAAAGGAAGCCAGCCACTTATGTGTTAGAGAGATACCTGTGGAGGCATCCACAGCAGGGGCGAAGGATCCCATGGGGATGAAGGACAAAAACGGTGAGCCTCAGATGAGATATGATATCTGATCCTTGAACTATGAGAGCTGGGCATGCATGTGGGTCATCTAGCCCAGCTCTACGTTGTTTACACAGGAAAATAAGACGGAGAGATGAACTGTTGACTTAGGTCCATGATACTTAACGACATTTCTGACAAGAAGAAACCACGTCAGCATTTGGCGTTTGTTGATTAAATCACCACACGTCCTAGAATTCCTGTTTGCAGCACTATTTATAACCGTTGTTTATGTTTTCTTCTTCTTAACTATACCTCATACTATGCTTGATTTTTGTCTAACACTAGCTAAATAGGATCCATAAGGTCTCGTGAGATGGATTCTCTCATGGTAGGGATCATCAAGCAACAACAAAAACTGGGTTTGGGCAGCCTACAATTTTTGTCTGCCTGTGAGCAATTGTTGAGAGCCTCTTTTGTGTGCTCCCCACTGTTGCGGGCAAGGAAGACATAGAGACAAACGAGGGAGGTACCCCAGCGGCCATGGCAGAGTTCACGTTGTGGAGCCTGTCGTTTGTTAGGGAGATGGACAAGAAAGCTGAGGACTGTGGGGCGGAGAGAGGAGTG